AATAGGGAGGTTTGAGAATATGAAGAGAGGAGATTGGGAGTGGGGAGAGCAGTTGATGGAACAGTCAGGACACATACATTTATCAATTAAGAGTGCTGCTATAGTACCCCAAAATAATTACAATGGTAACATCAGAAGTCACTAATCACTGATCACCATAACAAATATAATTAAAAAGTTTGAAATATTACAAGAATCACCAAAATGTGGCACAGAGACACAAAGTGAGCAAATGCTATTGAAAAAATCATGCTGGTAGACTTGCTCCAGAGTTGCTACAAAAAACAGCTCCATAACACAATAAAGTGAAGTACAATAAAGTCTATAGATGCTATGGCTCTGGGCCAGACTCCCTGCATGCCCACCACCCCTCTTTTGGTGCCCAGAGAGTGATGTTGCCCTTTCATTGGCTACTCAGAACACCTGAGCCAGACTGTATCTCATTACCATAAAAGGCTCCTTTTTAAAGGAGGCTGGTAAAGAGGGGAAGGGAGAGAAATAAACATTCCCACTTGGATTTTAAAAAGGCGGTCACTGCAGAGCTTGAAGAAAGTGCTATGGCCAGCCAGGTTCCCAGCTGCTTGTACTAGAGACAGAGGGGCAGTGCCTGCTAGGGCCTGGTCTCTGGGACAGATGAGCCCTTTCCCCACAGTGATGCTGGGGCAGGCAGTCCATACAAGACATAGCCTCTTTGAAACCCAACCCTCCTCATGGAGCCATCAGTGTCCCGACTTTGTGTGCCCACTCATGGTTCAGACTTCATTAGAGTAGGCCCTGTGGCCCTGCCCAGGAAAGAAGCCTCCATCAGAAAATTCATGACTTGTCACACTGACTTTAATCTATGAGAAGGGTGACCTGTAATAACATTTAAGAGTAATGGAATTAATAAGAGCCAGGCCAGATAAGAGAGTAGGCAGAGCCTTATGTCCAGGAAGAATAGCTGGCAAGAGGGGGGGAAATACGCCTCTCCAGTGAGTTCCACAGAGAAGTACATATAAGGGCAAACCACCTAGTGAGAGGTGACCAGCTAAGCACAAAGAGGCATGAGCTGGTCACAAATCTGAACCAAGAGTTAAGACTAACAGGAGGGCCACCCCCATATCTGCAAAGTCATCAGGGCCCCTGGACAGACCCTCCTTCACTTCCCATACCCTACTCAAGCTGGCTCATGGAGCTGTGGTAGGGGCAACGGCAACAAACGCCACAGTCCTGGGGGCTCATCTCTGTCTATTGCTTTTAACCCTTAAATTTACTATGCCCCTGAAGGAATATTCCCATCAGTACCTATTTCCAAAGTGCCCCCACTGCCCTCCCTGGTAGCTCCCCCTAACTGAGCTGGGTTGGAGCCCTTTGTGGGAGGAAAAAACAATAATATAAATCTGAGATGAGGTCCTGCTTGGAGCTAGATGCCCTCACCTCTTACCTCACCCTACCCACTCAGGCTTTGCGAGCCTGACTTTGCTCTGGAATTTCTAAAGATGTGTTCCTTTAGGGGAGGTCCCAAGAATAATATAAGAAAGAAAACAATGACCTCGGGATAAGATTATGCCTGTCCATGTCTCACTAAGCTGGCAAAATATGCCCTTGCCCTGTCAACAACCCTGCTGGCAGGATGCTCACAGGGAGAGAGGGAGCTTTGCTGCCTACTCCGTGGTCCAGATGGGGAGGGAGAACCAGAACAATAATGCCACTGCCAGACAAGGTGTCCAGGCCAGCGAGCAAGCCAAGTGGGTCCCTGCCCAACTACCCACAGACAGGGCAGGGCCAAGCTCCCAGATATCAGTGGTTACCCAGCTAGGCTCTGCAGGGCCAGGGTAGTGGAAGGACCACACCAGTTTCCCCTGTGGACCACAATTAGGTCACAAACTTCAGCTCTTGGGGGTGGGTGGAAGATAAGGGCCATGTTATTTATATCTGAATTGTTCTGATTCTCCTAAATTGATTTACACTCCCACTCCCCCGCCAAAGGATTTAAAGAGACTAAAATCCAACAAGAGAAAATACAAAGAAAAGTGAGGAGGAAGAGGAGATGAAAAGGAGGTCCAGCCTACTCAGAAAGGCAGTACAGGGTGCTGCTCAGGAGGTTCTGCTAGACCCTCCAGCCACTGCCCACTGTCTTCTAGCGGTCAGGACAAGCAGAGAATCCTCCAGAGCGAGAGAACTCCTGTACGCTGTTCTGAGCTCCCCTTCCCTTTGTCTGGCATGCCCTGCCCTTCAAAGTTCAGGTAAAGATGGTGCAGCAGGAGCCCCAGTGACTCCAGTGAACTCTTAAAGCCTGAGACCTTCAACCCACAAAACAGCCACCCTGTGAAGACAAAGGGCAGGCCTCTGTGCTGGGCTGGGGCAGGCCTCACAGAGCCTGAGTAGTCCTGCTGGAGGGGCACCCGGCCATGGAGACTGCCCTGCGAGGGAGCCTTACATAGGCGAGACAGCTCCCTGGAGGAAGCCTTACATAGGTGAGCCTGCCGTTCCAGCAGACAGGGCAGAGGGTACTGTGAAGGCACAGGAAGGACCAGCTAGGTGTCTAACAGGGAAACCTCAGAAGAAGTGAACCTTAACAGAGAGGATGACACTGGTGAAACCAGAGTGGCCACGAGTCGCCCGCTCCAGCCCCGGCTCCCCACTGCTCCACCTCGGTCCTGCGGGGCCAGCTACCAGAGTCTGGGCCGACGCTCACATCCCCAGGACCGGTCCCTAGGGTGGGTCTGCTCAGAAGTGACGTGGGTTCTGCAGCTATTCAGGTTCCCCTGGAAAAACTTGCCCCCAAATCAACCCGATCTCTCGCCCCACGTGGGAAGTATGGTCACCCTTGGAGGAGGTTCTGAGGACAGACTCAGCTGCCCTTCGGAAACCACAACTGGCGACAGACGGAAAGGGAAAGAGGGAACCCATTGTGGAAAAAACCCCATCTCGCAAAAATACCCCCAAACTCCGGAGCAGGCTTGGACCATGGTGCTGCCCCCGCATGCCCTTCTGCGGGACTGCAGCCCAGGAGGGAGGGACTCACGGGTTGATCTCCTGGTTCTCAGACTGTGAGGGAATATGAGGGAGGGAAAACTTACATTTGGATTCTGAGGCTATTCTAAATTTAAAACAAATTACCTTTCATTCCTAAAGCCAAATTTCATCGCTGCTTGCCTTTCTCTGGAGAAGAAGTATAATGACTTGCTTTTATTTGATGACTTCCTCATCTTGTTTTCTTTTTCTTTGGCATTAAGTTAAAGACCATACACACATTAAAGAATTTATGAAGTGGATATTCACGAGAAAAAGTCACAGAGCAGAAGAGCAGCAATTGCTTCTACCTGAACTCTGAAAACAGTCAGGGCTGGGTGCTGCCTCCAGCAAACAGTTAGACCTAGTTATGTTCATATACAATCTTAGGACCAAGGGTAGCCTTATACTACTCAGTACTATGTGGTTGGCTGTGGTCTGCGACCTCGCTTCAAATCCACAACTGCCCTTTAATGTGCATGTTTCTGCCAGTTTTACAGGGAATGGATTAGGAATAACGCATCTACAGTAGTTCTGAATGAAGAGCAGCCTCAAATCTAGGTAAGGATGCCTTGTGGTTGACCCAGGGCAGCTCTGCCCTACAGGTGTGGGCTTCTGCCTCCAGACTGATAAAGGATGACTTGGACCCAGGACTCAGCCTAAAGAAGGTGACTGAAGACAGAGGTGGGCATCTCCTAGCACACTCCTGCCTGTGCCAGCACCACTCCTGGCAAGAAGGAATCATCAAAGGGAGGTCTGATCAGGCTGACACAGGCTTCCTGGGCCAGGGGGAGTTTTAAAGCAGCTACGGATGACCCGGGCTTTGGGACCCTAGAACACATCAAGAATACCCACCCCCACCCCACCCCACCCCCACCCCCAGCAGCTCTAAATCATTGTGAATTGTGTTCAGGACACTGTGCCTTTCTGTTGGGAGTGGCTGTTCCTTCAGCCCCATTTGACAATCAAATGTTCTCATCTTAGTGGATTTTGGGGTGCTGGGTGACTTTTTCAGTTCTCTGGGTTTCCTTCCAGGACGACTTTCTGGTGCGATTTAGTAAATTTTAGCAGTTTTACTGTTTGAACAGTTTATTATTGACACAATAAACCCTCGCAAACCCTCTCCCCATGCTTTCAGGAACCACAATAAAAGGAAACCAAAGATTCTAGGCATGGAATGGTTGAACCCAGGCATGGCAGCTGTTTTCCCTCTAGAGACCACTCTGGCCTGAGTCAAAACACTAGGACCACCCCTAATGACCACGCTGAAATTCCACGCAGGACATTTTTACAACTCAGCCACCAGCAGGCAAGGGCCCTGGAAGCCCTGCACGGGGTCCCAGCTGGAAGATGGATTTTTTTGTGTGTGCGCTCTCGCAATTTTTAAATATTGGCTCAACTTTCTACAACTTTTTCATTGAGGTTGTAACAATAGCGGAGAAAAAATGCATAGAGCTGGCTGAAAAGCATCATCGGGCACGTAAGCATCTCCCCACGAGGGGCCGAGGCTCTTTGTCCCAAATCCACAGGGTGGGTTTGGGAGTGGTCCCAACCCTTCTTTCTCTCCTTGGCCCTTGCCTGCCGCCCAGCTAGCGCAGTGCTTTTGACCCTCACCGCCCCCAGATCCCTCCAAGTTCAGCTGGCCTTCTGTCGTTCAGATCTTTACAGTTCCCCTGAGCGCAGGTCAAATGCCCCCTCCGTGGAAGTGGGGCAGGAGATCTTTCATCCCCCAGCTGAGATCCGCGGGAGAGGAGGACCCAGGTCCAGAGGCACCCTCCCACCTAGAAGGGCTGCCGCTCCCCCAGTCGCTCCCCAGGCCTCTGCGCACGGGAATCGGTTCCCAGTCAGTAGCATCCCGCCTCGGAGAGGTCTCCCCCCCACTGCCAGAGTAGGTCCAAGCGCGGAGCCTGGGCCTTCTGCCCACCGAGCTCTGGGGGTGGAGCCGAGGACCAGCGCGGGCGGTAACGGCAAGAGTCGCCGCGGGGGCGGTTTGAGGGCGGGGCAGGCGGACTGCGGTGCCGCGGCTCAGCGCAGGGCTGCGCAGTCTCTGCGCGGCGCAGAACTGATACCCGCTGGGGTGCGGGCTGAGGCCGGGCGGGAGTCCAGCCAGAGCCCAGCCTGGGGTGGGCCCTGGGGGTCTGGGGATCCGAGAGCAGCGGAGAACAGTCATGGCGCCGCACAGAACTCGGGAAGGAGACTCTGCAGGAAGCTCGGCGCTGAGTAGCTAGGCCGGTCCAGAGTGCGGGCGGCAGCTGAGGTAGCTGCTTCCGCGCCCCGCGCCCTCGCAGGCCCCGAGCGCAGTCTGCTGGCGATGGTGACACATGCGGCGACGGCGGCGCGCCGGCGGTGGGACCATGGTTGAGCGCGCCAGCAAGTTCGTGCTGGTGGTGGCGGGCTCGGTGTGCTTCATGCTCATCCTGTACCAGTACGCAGGCCCGGGGCTGAGCCTGGGCGCGCCCGGCGGCCGCGGGCCGCCCGACGATCTGGACCTCTTCCCCACGCCCGATCCGCACTACGAAAAGAAGTACTACTTCCCGGTGCGCGAACTGGAACGCTCGCTGCGCTTCGACATGAAGGGCGACGACGTGATCGTCTTCCTGCACATACAGAAGACGGGCGGTACCACCTTCGGCCGCCACCTAGTGCAGAACGTGCGCCTGGAGGTGCCCTGCGACTGCCGGCCTGGCCAAAAGAAGTGCACCTGCTACCGGCCCAACCGCCGCGAAACCTGGCTCTTCTCCCGCTTCTCTACCGGTTGGAGCTGTGGGCTGCACGCAGACTGGACGGAGCTCACTAACTGCGTGCCCGGCGTGCTAGACCGCCGCGACCCCGCCGCGCTGCCCACGCACAGGTGAGGCTAACCAGCTACGCAGGCTAGCAGGACTGAGCGCGTGGCCCAGCTTGTGCGGTGGCTCCATGGGCTGTCCTGGGCCCGTTATGCCCCCCTGCCCTCCTCTCCTGCCCTCTGGTGACCCCACTCGCCCCAGCCTCACTGGATCATCTCCTCCCGCGTTCCAGGTCCTCAGGCCGCCATCCACTAATTTCGCTCTCCCCTCCTGCCTCTGCTTTTCCGGTCTCCTGCTTGGCTGTTCGTACCTGAGCTTCCAACCGGTCATCGCGGGCCGGTGTAAAATGAAGCCGGCCCCAGTTATAAGCCCAGGCTGGCCTTGGAATGTCGGGCAGGAAAGTAGGTTCTGTGTGTGTGTGTAGCCCACCTGGTGTGTTCGCTGTCTTGCGCGGGTCTCATACCCAACCAAAGTGGGAAAGTGGTGTGCCTTTCTCCTTGCACCTTTGGAGCCCCCATCCTGTCTTGAGGGGACACGGTGCCAGGGAAGGGTTGTCGGCCTCTGCGTGTGCAGTCAGAACAAAGGCCCCAGTGTGACTTAGACTAGTGCAGGAGGCAGTGCTACTGTGCCAGAACCAGGTGTGAACTTACTCTGAAAAAGGAACAAAAGTGGGCCAACAGCTATGTTGGGGAAGCTGGCTTGGTTTGGGACAGGTGCAACCAGACACCTTCCCTAGGAGCCCCCCATTTCTGTGGAGTCTGGGGACACAGGGCTGACCCGTGTGGGGGACAGCTCTCCTGGGAAGCACTTTGTAGCCAGAAACCTAGGGCAGTGTGGGGTTTCCTGTGGTTAAAGTTGGGTTTTTTCCCCTTCTGTTGGTGTTGGTACTTTGTGGGGCTTTCTTCTGAAGGTGCTTGCTTTTTGTTGATGGCTTATGTTTGCCTTAGGACTTCATTTGCAGACTGGCTGAGGTGGGGAACTGTGTGGCCCGTGTAATCGCATTCGTCCACACTCTGTGTCAGGAAGGTACAGGCTTTCTAGTGAGTTTGAAAAATGAAAGTTAGGCATCTCACCAGCCTGGAGCTGAGCAATCCATACATTTCTCTCTTCCTGTTCAGCTCTTGTCCTTTTCATGTGACCTTTCCCAACTGTCAGGAAGTTGAGGTCTTAGAGCTGGTGGGGGTTGTGAGGGGTTCTTCCCAATTTCCCTTGGCTGTCTTGCCTCCTACAAAAAAAAAAGAATTAAAAAGCAGCTCTCAACTGGAGGAATAATATTCCTGGTCTGTGAAAGCCACAGGGCTCACAGATCTGCTTATCCAGGGCCCCTGAAGCATTTTTTCCTGCCCACATTTGGCCTGCTCTGCAGAGATGCACTTTTCCTGGCATGACACCCACACCTCCTTCCCCAGCACCTCCCTGTCCCCCGCACCACCACCCCCCGCCATGATTCAGCCTAGCTGTGCTAGACTGAGCTTGGCCTGGAGGCTTGCGGCTGCTCATTCACAGTAGGCCCTTGGAACTGGGCAGTGCCAACCTCCATAGGCCCAGGTGGGTACCATACTGCTTGCAGGAAGGGGGGATGGGGACTGACACCATCCTGTCTGCCAGAGGGAATTAGCTCCAGAGAACCCCTTTAGGGAGAGTGTGCAGAATCTGCTCTGGAGGCTGTCATGAGGCCTGAATCAAGCTGGCCCAGTAGATACGGCTTTGGCCCTAGTTTGCAACCAGAGCAGAGGTTGATTTTCCCTTGGCGTCACCAGGGTGAAGGGCCCCTGGACTCTGTTCTGGAGTTTGTCCATCAGAACAGATCAGCCTCCCTCACAGACAGAAGTGGGAGGATCAAGTGGAGCTTACTGCTGCACTCCCCACCCAAACCCACCCCTGTGCTACACTGAGTGAGTCTCAGTGCCCCCACTTGTGTGTAACAAGAAAGGAAAATAAATGCCGTATGTTCTGCTTGGTCCGCCAGATGCTTCTTGCTGCAGTGGGCTGCCAGACCCCACCCCCTCCCATCCTGGAAGTTGCTGAGCTCAGCAGAAGCAGGCCTGGTAAAGGAGGGGCTTCCAGAGTGATCTGGAGGCCCTTGTTCTGTTGTCCACTCTGGGAGTTGTCTGTGCTGCCAGGCAGGTGACAGAGCTTCACCTTTACTCTTCTTCCCCTCCTCCTTTCATTTCTGTTCCAGGCACTAGATAGATTGGTTCTTTTAATGAGCTTCCTGAAGAGGCCAAGGTAGTCTTGGCTTTGTGAGTTTACAAGCCTACCTGCCCTGAGGTTCACCTGCCAAGTGTTCCCCTAGTCTGTGGAGGTTGGATGCAGTTCTCCCATTTGTGCAGAGACTTAATACCTCTTGGGATGGTGGCCAGCCTTGTCCTCCATGGGATGCGAGTCTCAGATGTCACCCTCGCCTTCCTTCCAGCAGGGCCAGATCCCACCCTCCCTGTGGGTATTGGAGCAACCCCTGGCTAGTGAACTGAGGAGGGGTGGCCCTGGCTCCAAGAGCTGTCTTGATGGAGCCCCTTCAGGTCAGGGCCAGGAGTGAGGACCTTTTCTTTCTCCTCTCAGGGGCAAGCACATTGCAGGGCTTGGACGATGCCTTTCTGTCATGAGGGCACTTTCACAGAGCCTCTCCCAGTTCCTGGTCCAGTGTCTGCAGTATTTTTCTAATGTGTGTATTGATTTTAGAGAGAGAGAGAAGAAGAAAGAGGAAACACTGATTGGTTGCCTCACATGCATGCCCTGATTGGGGATCGACCCACAACCTTTTGGTGTACAGAACAATACTCTACCCAACTGAGCTACCTGGCCAGGGTAGTGTCTATGGTATTTTGAGTCCTAGGAGAGGTGGGCCTTGTGCAGGAAATCAGAGTGTTCAAAGCTATTTCTCATCACAGGGTATAGTCTGCTCAGTTGGGTCTGTGTTGAGGTGACAGATGAAGATGGACAGGTTTTCATTATCTTCCTGGAATATGGTTTAGAACTTCTAGCAGCTCTTAGTGCTTTCTGACTTGGCAGAGAAGAACAGGTGTATGAGTGAAGTATTGGCAGGTCCCTTTTTCATCCTGTGTCCATCGAGGGGGCTGCCGCAGTTGCTGGCATCAGCCAGAAAAGCTTATAAGGACCCTCAGGAAGGACTGGCCAAGATCTACCTTGGTTAGAGTGTCTCCGCACCCCACACTCTTGTGTCACCTTGTAGGGTTGGAGTGGTGCTCCTTAAGACCAGAACCCTCCTTCCCCTCTTCATCTGCCTGAATGGGACAGAAGACACAGTCAGGGTCTTGCCTAGGTTGCCCTGGAAATGTCCCTGAAATCATGCAGGCTTCACTTGGAACTAATAAGGGCATTTGGGACTTGAATGTGGCTTCTGGGCCATCTTTGTGGGATCCTGGCCTGAGTTCAGCCATGTCCTCTCTGTAGCAGGGCCACCCTGGAGCCCCTAGTGGGCTCCCAGCATCTGTGATGTTGCCCTACAGAATCTGCTTCCTTGAAGAGCACACAGAAGCTCTAGCATTGAAGTAGTGTGCCCTATCAGTTCCGCAGGCTCATCTCTGGTCACATGCCCTCCTCCACCATTCCAAAATCCTCAGAAGTATGCCTGGGCTGCTCTCTGCCCAGCTTACCCTTATCTCCTTCCATAACTCTGTAGGCTACATCTCTCCATTCAGCCTCCTTTCTGCTGCCTCTTACTCCAGTAAGCCTTCTGTTGCCTTAGGTGCCCTTGGCCACTCTGCATCCTGTCATTCCATAGCCTGTTGGTTGGCTCTAGCCAGATGCCAAATGTGTGCTTCCCGCATGTTGGTACCTATAATAACCAACAAGAACTACAAGAATTCTCCTCCCGGACCTGCAGCCTCTCTAGGAGCTGTGTTCAGCTGGCTTTCCTCAGACAAGTCAGGTTCAAGAAGTCGGGGCTACTTGGGGGCCAAACCCATTTGGGCAGGGTTAGATTACAGTGGTTCTGTGACTGTTTTCTGTGACACACAGCAGTTCCCACCTTACCTTCACAGACCCTTTCTTCTGTGCCATCAAGGGACCAAACCTACATTTGCCTATTGTGGGGCAGATGTCACCTAAGGCTTGGGCCTGGAACCAGTAAATAGGACCCGGCCACCTAAGGGACCTGGTTGGGGTGTCATCATGGCTGAGTCACCTAAAGAGGACTTAGGCTGAGATAAAAGGAATCTGAAGTCAGAATGTTCAGAATTAGATTTTCATTTTTTAAAAAAGGAAGAACCTGTTAAGCAAATGCATGAGAACTTTATTTTTAGGCAAACTTTCAAATGGCTTACTGACAATTTTTTTAAATGGTTCTCTGGCTTGTGAAATTACCATGCTCTAGAATGCCTATTGCCCTAATGCACTGTAGGACTTGCAAGACCAGCGCTTCCCGTACTCGTAGGCAATTCACTTGTGAAGCCTGGAGCTGTGCAGATGGATTGGACCACTGTGTTGTGGCACTGGCTCTGGTCTGGGGCCTTGTCTGCTCCTTGTGAGCACAGCTCCTAGACCTGGGGCCCAGGACCAGTGAAGCCCCATCAATAGGGGTTTCTTTCTTAGTGGGAGGTCTGAGAGGTTTGGCAGCTACACTTGGGGAATGGCAGGTGGTTGGTGGGGGCATTTGTTATCCTTAAGGGGCCTTGGGTCTTTCTCTTGCACATCCCTCTTTTTTTGTTGTTGTGGTAAAGTAATGATTGTAATAGGTAATTGGAACTAAAATATAAAAGAAAAATCATCCTATTTTTCACACATACATGTTTTCTATAACTGAAACCATAAGTTCCCCATAAGTATTGTTCCATGTCATTAAAAATGTAACACACAAGAGGCTGCAGGTGCCCTCTAGTACCCCATCGTTGGTTCTGTGTTGATGTAGATGCTCGCCTCTGACTCCTGTAGCAGTGCTGCAGTGGAGTGGACATCCTGTGTGTAAATATTTTGCACAGCTTCAGTTTCCTTTGGAAATTGCTAGAAGTGGAATTTCTAAGTTGAATGGTCTGGATGTTTAAATGCTCACCATATCAGTGTTAAATTACTTTTCAGAGAGTCTGCCCTGTGGCAGTTGAGTGCC